TCCAGGTCCCATCACCCCATCAGAACTTTTCTCTTTTGGCCTCCTTGACACTATACTCATCTCCTTATATCTCTTAGTTTACCTTGTCTAATTCTTCCTTGTATGGTGTCAGTGCCTCGGAAATTCTGGGACCCCTTCCTGATGACTGTACTAGAGAATGTCAATCCCTGGGAAACTACTGTTCTGACTACCAATTTCTAATCATCCCCTACCTTCATTGTAAACTCCTGGGAATCTCTGCCGTGACCAGCAGTTTCTAACTGCCCCTGAATAAATGCCTTACTTTATTTTTTTTTAATCACCTTGTTGATCTGATTTTTATACAGGGTTGACAATGGGTTGAACTAAATATCCTCTGAGGTTCCTTACAATTATCAAATTTTGTGATTTCAACTCCTAACCCAATATTGAGCTCTAGACCCACATTTCTTAACTCATCAGATACTTATTAATCATATGCTATGTGTAAAAACATTGTTCTAGGCAAGAAGGATTTTTTAAAAGCTATAATGCATACCTTACTCTTTAGGCATTTACAACTTAATAGAGGAAAGACATGGAAATGTAAAACTAAGATATAAAGGAAAGTGAAATAAGAATAAAAGAGAGGGCTTGACAAAATTCTGTGAGATAATTGAGGGAGAACTCATTTTTACCTGTAGTGGGGAGTGGGGCAAAGAAATGGGAGGTGTTGAAAATCTTGGTTAGGGCTTTGTCCTAATGAATCAGGCAAGCTCAGGAAAATGAGATAAAAAAATAATTTATTATAGTACACAAGGCAACGCATTGCATATGGCTGTGCTAGGATTTCAAAAGCCCCACTGCTTTTATAAACAACTTATCCTAACAAGAGCAAAATAATCCTGATAGGTGTTGTTGCTTTTGGTCATGTCTGACTCTACATGACCCATTTTGGGGTTTTCTTGGACATTGGAGTGGTTTATCATTTCCTTCTTCAGCTCATTTTACAGATGTGGAAATTGAGGCAAATAGGGGTTAAATGTCTTGGAAAGGGTCACACAGGAGTGAGTGTCTGAGGTTGGATTTGAACCCAGGTCTTCCTGACTCCAGGCCTGGTGCTCTCTTCACTTCTACACCTAGCTTCCAGACAATCCTGCTAGGTATAGGCTTCCAAAAAGGCATGGGCCATTGTGTCTCAGCTCCTCCCCCATTACAAAATCACAGGGAAATGAGATTAAAGATAAAGGGAATGGGACGAAATGCACTAGAGGAAGACTAGCAGAACTGGAAACTGTGGGGTCACTTGAACTGACTCAGCACAATTTCAGTGGAGGTATGAGTGAGATAGACACCTTCATGGAGGAAGTGGCCCTCCCTGAGTTTGGTCTTGAAGAATCTTGAGCTTACTTTAGATAGACTTTATATTGGTCATTATTCTTTTCCAGGCTCCTCTCCTTATTCTCTATCTACCCATGTTCTCCCAGGGTACTTTCCCTGCTCCACCTTCCCCAGTTTTTTGCTTCTTTTTAAAAATTGTCTTCCCAGTTAGAACGTAAGCTCCTTGAGGGCAAGGACTGTCTTTTGCTTATATTTGTATTCCTAGCACTTAGCACTATGCCAGACTTAATAAAAGCTTAATAAATACTTCCTTGACCTCCCTTGACTTTACAAAGTGCCTTACATTCGCTTTTAGAGATAGACTTAGGAATGGTGGGAATCTATACCAGCCTTGGGGGCTAGTAGGAGCGAAGTAATGGAGGGAGGAAATGTAGATTGAGAATAGCAGACAAAAAATAGTCTAGTTTGACTGGGGCATAGAATATGTGTAAGATAAGTCTGGAAAGGTAGGCTAGAGTGAATTGTGGAGGGCCTTGAATGCCAGATCAGGAGCCTATGTTTTATTCTGTGGGCAGATAATGAAATTCTTCATCAGAAAAAAACTTCAATTCTAGGAAGTAGGGAAATGATACTAACCAACCTTATCTTGGAGAATTATAGAGGACGTTTTATAAATGATGAAAAATTGTAATTATTAATTGCAATTATGGAATAATTAAAAAAAAAACATAGTAGGCAGCTGTTGGCTTATTCCTTCTGTGAAATGCCTGGTGGAATCTTCTACAGAAGCATTGTTGTTCAGTCCAACTCTTCTTAGCAAAGAGTGGTTTTCTATTTCCTTCTTCAGTGGATGAAGGCAAAGGGAGGTTAAGTGACTTGCCCAGGGTTCTCACAGCTAAGAAATTATCTGAGGCTGGATTTGAACTCAGATCTTTCTGATTCAAGGCCCAGTGCTCTATCCACTGAGCCACCTAACTGCCCCAGAGTATTTTTGTTGTTCTTGATCCCATTTGAGGTTTTCTTGGCAAAGATATTGAAGTGGTTTTGCAGAACTGAGCAAAAGGGGTTCAGTGACTTGCCCAGGGTCACAAAGCTAGTAAGCATTTGAGGCCATATTTGAAATCAGGAAGAGGAGTCTTCCTTGACTTCATTTCTAGCACTGTATCCACTGAGCCATTTTAAACATTTTTAGCACCCACCCACCCCCTTTTTGTGAGACAATAGGAAAATTTGTATTTGTTAGGAATTGCATAAGAACAGATGGTGCAGATTAGTTTTCTAGAAGTTGCTTCTCTGTAAACAGTAGAAATATGCACTAATCCAGATAGAATCTAATGTTCCTTTAAGTGATAATGATGGAAAACCTATTTGAAAAGAGTGTACAGAGGAGTGGGGATTGGCCTGGGAATCAAAATTCCTGGGTCTTCCTCACATCATCCCATCCTGCCTGGAGCCCTGACTGTGTGAGATGTTCTAGTTTTTTCTCTGCAAAATGGAGAAAACCATTTCTGTCTTCTGACAGATGTTAGGCCTCAGAAAGGCAGTAACAGTCATTGTGAAACTCAGCCTGGGAAAGCTGCATTAGGTTTGGTTACCTTCCTCTTGAAGCCTGAATTTCAGACAGTGCTGGTGAGGCTACTTTCCATGCTTGGCCTAGGCCCTTGGGCACAACCCCCAGTCCTCTGCCTACTCTGTAAATTGGGCTGCAGGTAGGTGCTGGAGGTCTAGCTGGGCTTTAGTTGATTCCTATTGGATGTTCAGTGGCTAATGCTGAGTAGCCATACTGGCCATGTCTATTTTCAATCAAAAGTTGGGTCTAGAGTAACTTGTCTCTACAACCCAAATGACTTTTGCTTTGGCAAGGGTGAAAACACCAAACATCAGCTTTATCCAGTCATCTTGGATTTTTTATTAAGGGTAGGGTGGCTTCCAATGTGCTTTGTGCAAAACTGACAAACATCTTAGCATTTGGACAAAGGCCTCATGGGGCACAGAGTATACACACACACACACACACACACACACACACACACACACACGTATGTAGGTATGTATGTATCTACATTTTATATATATGTGTGTGTCTCTGTGTGTGTGTATATATATATATATATATATACACACTATGTTATATATATGTATGTTATGTGATAGCCATAAGATATTGGGCATAATATATATTTTATATATATTATATAACATATATACATATAACAATCTATATGTGCATATATATGAATATACATACGTATACACACATACATATAACATGGTCAGTACAGAAATTTGTTTGGCTTGACTACATGTTTATAACAAAAGTTTTGCTTTTCTTTAGTTCTCAGTGTGGGGGGAGAGGGAATGAAGTTGGCAAAAAAGAGAGAAAATCAATTTTTGCTGAATTGAAAAAATAAAATATAATTTTAAAAAATGCTTAATGGTTAGGCTCACTATGATGTTTAGGGAAAGGAGAGGTTCCAGAACATGACACATTGTGGGAAGACAGGCTTCAGCGATGAAAGGATTGACTAAGGGTCATAAACAGCTGGTATCAAGTAAGTTTAAACTCCACTCTGCAAGATCTACATCCATATAACTGATATTTCTTTTAGTTTAAACCTTCTCAGTGTCTCCCTTGTGTATATCCTCATTGGTTTCAGTTGTAATAACTAGGGAGAAAGAAAAAGATCATACCCCATTTCTAAGCATTTGCCAAATCTTCTGAGAAGGGTGTGACTCACTGAGGAAATGGAGACATTTAAATTGGAGAAGAGAAGGCCTGGGGGTGGGAGACATGGTAGTGATCTTAGATTATTTGAAGGGCTATCACACAAAACAGGGATTAGCCTTGTTCTGTTTGACACCAGAAGGCAGATCAGATCAATGAATGGGAACTATCCAAAAAGTGGAATGAGCTGTCTCAGGAGGTAGCAGCTTCTCCAGCAGCAGAAATACTCAAGAGAAAGGTGGATGACTACTTGTTGGAAATTGTCCTAGGGGGGAATCTTGGTCAGATACAGGTTGGACTAGATGGCCTCTGAGAACCCTTAAGCTCTTAGATTCTGCAAAGTATTTTTTTTTAACAATCCCAAACTGATAACAAAATTAATGGTTACCATAGTCCTTAACATCCCGACATAATAATAAAGCTAACATTTATATAGTACTTCAAAGTTTGCAATGTGTTTTTAAATGTTATCTCACTGTGAGACAGGTGCTATTATTATCCCCATCTTACAGATGAGAAAACTGAAGCTGAGAGAATTTAAGTGGCTTGCCCAGGGTTACAGGATAAGTGTCTGAGGTAGGATTCAAACTCAGGTCTTTCTGACTCCAAGTCCAGTACTCTATCCACTGTACAACTTAGCTGCCCCCAATACAAAAGTCCCATAATTAGTTTGTCTCTCTTTATCTTCCCAGATGTTCTGCCCCTTGACATAAACATGTGATCCATTCTTATGTCTACTTATGTAGTTCTGTATCTAGTATTCTCTGGGCCCCTCTGCATCATTAGTCTGTCTTATGCTGTAAGTTCCTAAGGGTCAAGAACAATGGTTGTATTAATCACTCTTACCATGCTAAGTACCAATAGGTACCACTAAAGGCTTTGGCACCATGATGGAGGAAAAGGAAGGAAAAGGGAGAGGATTCAGGCTAATGGTGGCTCCCCAGGTAATGTCAACTTTAAGCATATGCAAGCTTACCACTTTTTGATTCCCATCAGGTTCCATTAGCAGCCACTCGATATCCAAGGTATCTCTTTCTGGGAGCCCCAGCTGATGATGACAAGGCAAAGTGACCTTCTCCTCGGCCACTTTTTTGATTTCCATATGAGTCCCCCATGTTCCAACATAACAGGAAACTGAAATAGAGAAATCTTGTCAGTGATGGAAAAATGGATGGTAACAAAATAAGGATGGGAGAGCAGGATCCTGGATTTTTCAAGTAGAGGGGTTGAACGACTACTTGGGAGATGGGGACACTTAGAGACGTCTCAGATCCCTTTTAATTCTGGGATTCTATGATTGTTTTCTGGATCCTAGAAATGAAATTAGGAGTTCTGGGTTCAAATTCTAACTGATAATAACTGGCTATATTATGAGTCATTTAGCTTCTCTGAGTTTCAATTTCCTCATCTTTAAAATGGGAATAAAATCCTTCCATTTTTCCTTCTTTCTTTCCTTCCTTCCATTTTCCTTTGTTCCTTCCTCCCTTCCTCCATTCTTTCTTTTGTTCCTTCCTCCGTCTCTCCTTCCTTTTTTCCCTTCCTTCCTCACATCACTGTCATGAGAATCAAAGGCAATAATAGACGTGAAAACACCTAGAAATATATAAAGTACTATACACATATAAAACTTCAGTATTATCCACGAGAGCGAACTGATTTGAATCCAGAAGTTGTTCTCAAACCCTGTCCCTGCCTGACAATTTGCTTCTTTCTGTGTATGAACCCTCCACTCCTAATCATTCTCACCATTTTTATTGCCATGGCAACATGAGATGTTGGAGGGTCATTTAGCAGATGAACAGACTCTTCCCAGAGTTCCTCCGGTTCTAGTGGCAGGCTCTCGTACGTAAGCACACACTCTTGCTGCTACATGCAGTAGCCATAGCTGCTGCTAGAAAAGAAATCCCCTCCTGTTCCTTATTAGTTCAAGGAAGAACTGGTATTGGCTATGCTCTAACAAAGAGACTGCCTTGAGGCAGAAAGGAAGCTGAATCTCCTTGTTCCTTATACCCCACAGAATGAATAGTTTTTCCTCACTCTGTTGGCTGTTATCTTTGATACAGCCCCATACATGGGACAGAGGTCCAGCCAGGAGTCTTTGGTCGAGCAAATCCTTTAGCAAGGACCCAGGTCCGTGATTCTCTGCAAAATATCAGGGCACTGCCCCATCCACATGCATGTAGCATGACTCTGCTACATGTGCATACCTCCTGAGTATACCCAGAGTGGCTTAAATGTATGTTTTGATTTTCTATTGACTTTATTCTCTGGTCTTGCAGACATTATACCAGCTACGTAGATTGAATCATCCTAGCTGGGACAATGCACAAGGAAATCCTGGGGCAAATGGTCCTAATGTCATTCTCATAGTCATAGACTATTAGAGCTAGGAGGAACTTTGAAATTGAATCATCCAGACATCATTGTACAGATGAGAGAAACTGAGACACAGAAAGTTTCTATAAAAGACTGCATAGTATAGTAAAAATAGTACTGCACTTTCCAGTCTTATACTATTCCCTTTTATAAGTTTCTGTTCTAGTCTAGTGTTCTAGTCTAGTTAGATGTTCCCCATATGTGGCATTCCAAATTCCATTTCATGCTTCTCATCTTCATGCTTTTGCAGATGTGGTCCCTTATTTTTTGAATGAATATCCTTCTCATCTCTAGCCTCCCTGAAAACTCAGCTCAGTACCCTTTTACCTTAAATCTTTCTGGATCTTCCCAGTTCTTCATACTCTTTCCATCTGGAAGTTACTTTGCATATACCTTCTTTTCATTTTCTTGTGTAGAAGAAGCTTATATTCCATATATGTGTGTATATATGTAAATACACACATATAACTATAATTCTAGTACAATCTAAACTTCTTATAAACATACAAATGCAAAGTATGTATGTATAGATTTTACATAGTTATAATTACATATAAAGTGACATATATAGTTATATGTAAATATAACTGTATATGTGTTTATGTATATATATACACATATACATAGTACATATATGTATATATAAAATATTCCATTAGACTATAAACTCCTTGAGGGCAGGGACTGTTTCTTTTCTTTCCTTTTTCTTTTCTTTAACTTTTCTTTTCATCCTCAGTCTGGTGCTTAACAGCTTTGTTGAATTGATTGAGAGTCAATCAATTTCACTCTTTTTTTTTTTTGGTGAGGCATTGGAATGAAGTGACTTGCCGAGAGTCACACAGCTAGTGTCAAGTGTCTGAGGCCAGTTTTTAACTCAGTTCATCCTGAATCCAAGGTCGGTGCTCTATCCACTGCACCACCTAGCTTCCCCCTTCATTTTCTTTTATGCATTCATTTCTTCAGTGTTCTGAACACAGAACTTGTAAGTGAGACACAAATATGTGCATCTGTTGTGGCTCCCACCTCTACTGGGAGAAAGCTCCCTTAGGTCATTTACTATATCTTCTTGTTCTTGAATTTGACCTTTCCTCTCCTGGGGGAAAAAACAACTACAACTAAAACAAAACAAAATCCCTTGGAAATAGGATGGGAAGGTATCTTCAGGGTAAGAATAAACCAGAGAAATCCCAGGGCTCCGTGTTACCAACTAAGTGTTTAGGCCAATTCAATTTTATTCAACACTTAATTTTTCCTGGAAAGCTACAAAACCCCCGCAAAAACTTCAGGTTCTCCTGCATCTGCTCTTTATTCTCTGTGTGACGATGAGCAATTCACTTACCATTGGTGGTCCTCATTTTCCCCATTTGTAAAATGAAGGGATTGGAGTAGATGGCTCTAAGGTCCCTATGACCCTACAGTCCATTGGCCACCAGGCAAATGGCTTCCTGGGAAACATCTCATCTTGGTTCTTCTTTTGTGCAAGAAACACAAACCTCAGCCATCAGTCTTCCTTCACTCCAGTGTTGTATGATCTTTTTTTTTTTTCAAGCTATGAGCATAGATGCTTAACAGACCTGGTCAGAGCCAGGCCAAGCCATCATCCCAGGCAAGGTTTGAACATGGCACCTCCTAGGTTTGAAAATTTTCATCCACTTTGTGTTTATATATGCAATTCCATAACCTTCTGTGTCAGTGACTTTTGTCCTTTTTCTTGTATAACCCACGTTTGAAACAACATGGATTTCTTCCTCTCCAGTCTCCTGAATCTTTCAGGTTCCAGACAAGGACAGGATTCACAGGGCCAAGAGCTGAATTGCCCATGCTTTTTTTTTTTAAATTTTCCACAAGTTTTTGAGTTCCAAATTTCTCACCCCTCCCCCCACCCCAAGATGGCATGCATTCTGAATACCCTTTCCCCTGTTCTGCCTTCTCTTCTATCTCTCCCCCCTCCCTTCTCTTATCCCCTTCCCCTTCTATTTTCCTGTAGAGCAGGATAGACTTCTGTACCTCATTTCCTGTATTTCTTATTTCCCAGTTGCATGTGAAAACATTTTTTTTAAAACATGTGTTTTTAAAACTTTGAGTTCCAAATTTTCTCCCTTCCTCCCTCCCCACTCACCCTCATTGAAAAGGCAAGCAACTCAATATAGGTTGTACATGTGCAGTTATGCAAAACACTTCCTTAGTAGACATTTGTGAAAAACTAACTCTATTTCCCTTAATCCTATCCTGCCCTCCCATTTATTCTATTCTTTCTTTTGACCCTGTCCCTCCTCAGAAGTATTTGCTTCTGATTACCCTCTTTCCCAATCTGCCCTCCTCTCTATCACCCCCTGCTCTCTTGTCCCCTTCTCCCACTATTTTCCTGTAGGGTAAGACAGATTTCCATACCCAATTGAATGTGTATGTTATTCTCTCCTTAAGCCAAATCCTATGAGAATAAGATTCCCTCATTCCCTCTCACCTTCCCCTGTTTCCCCTCCACTGTAAGAGACTTTTCTTTTCTGTTTTTTTTTGTGAGATAATTTACCCCATTCTACCTCTCCCTTTCTTCTCCGAGTATCATCCTCTCTCATCCCTTAATTTTATTCTCCAGATATGACCCCTTAATCTTCAACTCACCCTGTGCCCTCTATCTATCTATATATACACACATACAATTTTTTTCCTTCAACTACCCTAATACTGACAAAGTTCTCATGAGTTACAAATATCATCTTTCCATGCAGGAATGTAAACAGTTCAATCTTAATAAGTCTCTTATGATTTCTCTTTCCTGTTTACCTCTTCATGTTCCACTGGAGTCCTGTATTTGAAAGTCAAATTTTCTGTTTAGCTCTGGTCTTTTCATCAGGAATGCTTGAAAGTCCTCTATTTCACTGAATGACCATTTTTTCCCCTGAAGGATTATACTCAGTTTTGCTGGGTAGGTGATTCTTGGTTGTAATCCTATCTCCTTTGCCCTCCAGAATATTATATTCCATGCCCTGTGGTCCTTTAATGTAGAAGCTGCTAAATCTTGTGTTATCCTGATTGTGTTTCCACAGTACTTGAATTGTTTCCTTCTGGCAGCTTGTAATATTTTCTCCTTGACCTGGGAACTCTGGAATTTGGCTACAATATTCCTAGGAGTTTTCCTTTGGGGATCTCTTTCAGGAGGAGATCTGTGGATTCTTTCAATTTCTATTTTGCCCTCTGGTTCTAAAATATCAGGGCAGTTTTCCTTGATAATTTCTTGAAAGATGATGTCTAGGCTCTTTTTTTGATCATGGCTTTCAGATAGTCCAATAATTTTTAAATTCTCTCTCCTGGATCTATTTTCCAGGTCAGTTGTTTTTCCAATGAGATATTTCACATTGTTTTCTAATTTTTCATTCTTTTGGATTTGTTACTGTTGTCGATTTCTCATAAAGTCACTATCTTCCAATTGCTCTATTCTAATTTTTAAGGAAGTATTTTCTTCAGTAAGCTTTTGGACTTCCTTTTCCATTTGGCCAATTTTTTTTTTAGGGCATTTTTCTCCTCATTGGCTTTTTGGACCTCTTTTGCCATTTGGGTTAGGCTTTTTTAAGGTGTTATTTTCTTCAGTATTTTTTGGGTCTCCTTTAGCAAGCTGTTGACTTGTTTTTCATGATTTTCTTGCATCACTCTCATTTCTCTTCCCAGTTTTTCCTCTACTTCCCTTACTTGCTTCTCAAAATCCCTTTTGAGCTCTTCCAAGGCCTGGGACTGATTCATATTTTTCTTGGAGGCTTTGG